GCTGCCGAATTCCGCCTGGCCAGGTGGCCGGTGTAGGGCTTAATTGAGGCTTAAGGGTTTCGGGTCTCCGGTTTAGGGTTTAGGGGTTTAGGGTTTCGGGTTTAGGGTTTAGGGTTGAGGGTGTAGGGTATAGCGCATCGCGGATGCAGGGCGGTCTTGATTGGCGGTCGAGGGAAACATGCTTGCTTGCCAAACATTGTAATTAGATTCTAGGTGGCTCGGGCTTGTTGCGCTAGTTGGGTTGGTTGAAGGTTGGGTCTTGCCCAGAAATATATGGGTAGTTGTCAACATTATGGTCCCTTTTGGGGTACCCTAAATAATAGGTGCCGTATTATAATAAGGACCCAAAAAGGGACCATAATTTTGACAACCACCCATATAAACAGGTCACGCTCTTCCAATGGAAACTTCAGCATCTCGTCTGTTGCATCGCATGCAAAGCGGCAAGCACAGAGCAACTCGCAAGGCACTCGAGACTCTACTGCGCATGCCGGCAGCGCAAGCAAAGGTCTGGTGCAACAGGTCTAATATAGGGGCCTTAATAGTTAGAATAGGGGTTTGTGGTAGTTATACTTCTTATAATAAGGAACCCCCAAAAAAAGTATTGGTAATTATTAAGGCCCTTATATTAGCAGGTCTGCTCAATGGAAGCATGCCCGTGTATCCCACTTCATATCAGGCAAGAAGAAGCGGCTGCACACGACAGCTCAAACAATCGGTGAGGCACTCAACCAGCTACGTCGTGTCTAATATAGGGGCCTTAAAAGTTGGAATGGTTTTGAGGCCCATTCTACTATACTTGTAATAAGGAACCCCCAAAATACTATTGGTAATTATTTAGGCCCCTACAGTATCTTGGTCCGGCCTACGGCTAGAGCAAAGCCTGGTGGAAGCGCCGTGTAAGTCGGGTTTTCGAAGTGGAAGCCTCGATAACTCGAAGCGCCTCGGCGGCGTGTGAAGGCTTCGCCTTGGAAACGACCCTGCGAACGTCTGCCATGTTCTTTGTCTCATGCGTGCTTCTGAGGCTCCCTTTTACTGATGTCATATGCATCGGGACCCAAAGTATGTACTATTTAGGTACAGAAGCCTTAGGGTACACCCTCAACCAGTAAATCCTCGGCCCCTGAACCCCTCAATCCCTGAACTCTAAACGCTACATTCTATATCCCTGAATGCCCGGGTGACTCAGGAGGACCTGACGGATATTCCGGAACCGATCCTGGTGGAGGAGGACAGCGACGACGATGCCATTCGATTTGACAAGAAGACTATCAAGCGCTGCTGGAAAAGGGTGCAAAAGGCAGGCCCGGACTTTGCCGCGTGCATCAAGGATGAGGAGGAAGACGAGTACAGCGGTTACCACTATGTCGTAATCGCACACGGCCCCATCGTAGGCTTCGACACCAGGGCGTACGTATTCGCAAAGTACGACTTTGGAGGCCTTGCTATCCTGATATGGAAGATGTACAAAGTGGGCGAAGACTGAGTATCCCCGAACTCATAGGCTTGATGTGCTGGCATGTCGCGAAAACGCGCGTCCCGTCTAGGGGGGTGTTGAAAGGGGTGGGGACTTCCTTGTTGAGTCGTCGGAGTTGCATGCTCTTCCCTCTGCGGGTTTGGATATCGCATCTTTAACTTTTCCAAGGCTCCCCAGGGCTTTTCCGGACCTCCCGGCCCCACTGAAAAACCCTCCAAACTTGGCTCGAGCTACCAGCCCTCTACGAAGTCTCACTTAAAGCCCGTGCCGTAGTTTGCAGCTTATCCACTCATACGAGGCGCCAACCTGCTCTTGACTTATTGTGGGGGGTAGGTTACGAATAATCCCTTCCCCCTCATGTTCAGCACACCCCGCACCCCCAATCTTAAATATTCCCTATAGTAGATAAAGTATTAGGGGACCAGGTCTTTTAATTTTAAGGGGCAGGGTAATGTTTAACATTAGGGGGCAGCGATTAATTTTGTGGGAGTTTCTCAATATCCGGGTTTGGGGTTCCCTTGCTTGAGAACCCGGTTCAGGGTTTTGGGTTCAGGGTTTAGGGTTTAGGGTGTATGGAGAATAGGCTGGGTTCTTGTTGGATAACATTTTACATTGTTATGCTTACTTGGGCCCACTATAAATCAAAGAACCCAGTAGGGGAGTGTTGAGTTGGAGAGCACCCCAAACCCTAAACCCTGGCCAGCTTACCGTATTAGTACTGGTGTAGAATGGCATCGGCATAGCCATAGGCCTTGTAAGCTCTACGTGTAACGATAGTAATGGTGTTGACTCAGGTGTAGTGGAATGCTGGAGCCCTCAACCCCGAAGCCTTCAGGGTTTAGGGTTCAGACATTAGAGTCTAGGGTTTAGGGTTTTGACATTGGGGTCTAGGGTTTAGGGTTTTGACATTGGGGTCTAGGGTTCAGGGCAAAAGGTAGGAACTTAGCACGGACCCCAGGTCCATGGCTTACTTCCTGGTGCGCGTCATAGTCTTCCTATCGTTGCTGGCGGGCGGCAGCGCCGTTCGACACGGGGACGCTGCCGAGGTCAAGAACGTCCGCCACGAGGACGCTACCGAGATCCAGGACCTACCCTTAACGGCCCAACTACTCATATAGGATAGCATCAAACCCCAGAATACCAATATAGGAACCATCTGGGGCCCAAAGTATGAACTATTTAGGTGCAGAAGCCTTAGGGTACACGCTCAACCAGCAAATCCTCGGACCCTGAACCCCTCAATCCCTGAACTCTAAACGCTACATGCTATATCCCTGAATGCCCGGGTGACTCAGGAGGACCTGACGGATATTCCGGAACCGATCCTGGTGGAGGAGGACAGCGACGACGATTCCATTCGATTTGACAAGAAGATTATCAAGCGCTGTTGGAAAAGGGTGCAAAAGGCAGGCCCGGACTTTGCCGCGTGCATCAAGGATGAGAAGGAAGACGAGTACACCGGTTACTACTATGTCGTAATCGCACACGGCCCCATCGTAGGCTTCGACACCAGGGCGTACATATTCGCAAAGTACGACTTTGGAGGCCTTGCTATCCTGATATGGAAGATGTACAACGTGGGCGAATGAACTCAGAGCAGGGACGTGCTGGCATGTCGTGAAAACGCGCATGCCGTAGAGGGGGGAAGTTGTTCAGGGTTTCGGGTTTCTGTGGTCGTCCTGTAAACACCCAAATCTGTTCAACGTAGAGATGTGGTTTCGTTCTTGTCCCTAAGGAAGTATACGATGATGGATCCCAAGTCCTTTTATTCAAATGATTCCACTACCCAGAGGGCCCAAGTATCCAAACAGCGGGGTCTTAGGTTCCAAATGCTATACTCCGAACGAGTCTTTGGTGCCTGGAAGACCATCATCCGGGTAGGGGTTTAGGGCTTAGGGCTTTTAGGGTTTAGGGGTTTCCGGTAGGTCTAGTACCCCTAAACCCTAAACCCTAAACCCTAAACCGGCTCTTAGTCTAGGGTTTATGGTTTTAGTTTTATTGTCATAGGAGGGACTTGAGCTTCGACCAGAAACTGCCTAGAGGCTTATCTTATTGGATCCTTAAGGGAGGGTGGCTCAAGGGGGGAGGGTCCTAGGGAGCTGTAGGGAACCTAAGGGAGTACTAGGGAGAATTGGGGATTACTGGGTTATATACCCCCCTTAGAACCGCCTCCCTTAAGGATTCCGTAATTATCACATGCGCTTGTGAAACGGGGTACAAGCACAATGAAAAGCTGTAGTGGACAGACTGTTCGGGGACATCGCACCAAGTGTCCCACAAAGCTCGCTAGCAACCCCAAACCAATATAGGGGCCTAAATGATTACCAAGACTATTTCAGGGGTTCCTTATTATAACGAAAGCTAAATGGACACCAAAACCAATTGAAACTATTAAGGCCCCTATATTGCCATGCTTGATCTGTACATCTGGCTGACATTCCAATTCCGTCGAAACTTTAGATACCGCAGATTCCATGGGCTGCTCCCATGCAGAAGAGGTTGAAGAGGGTACGTCTACTGGATGCCAATATTGGTGACATACAACCCTAAACCCTAAACCTCTAAACCCCTAAACCCTAAAGCCTCAACCGAAACACCGCCTTTGCAACAGGCATCCTATGGCAATGCAGAGGCTCTTCCTTTGCCTGGCCCGAAACCCTAATCTAGGACATTTTCGGGTGGGTAGCTCCCGCTATAGGAGCCTTATAGAAGGTCTATATACCTTATCGAAGCCCTATATACCCTAAACTCCCCACGTGTAGTTTCCTTTAGCTGAAACAATAAACCCGAAACCCTACTTTGGGCCGTTTGGAGCCTTTGGGTTTTCCAGACTCCTGGACTAGGTGGCAATTTGGGAGACTTATTTCCCTTATGGTTTCTAAAGAGGTACCTATTCATGCATACCTTTCAGGGCCTCCAAACTACAACCCAGTGGATGTTTCGGGGACGGTGCTCTCTCGGAGCTTCAGGGCTTCCGGTTCAAGGTCCTTCTCGACATTAGCCCCCAAGCCGGGAGACTGAAATCCCAAACCCTGAACCCTAGACTCATGTTCTATAGTATACGAGAATATCTAGCTATGGCGGCAAAACACTCTAATGTATTACAGTATACGATTCGACTATCATATACTACAATATGCTATAACCTACTTTAGTATACGGATAGAACCGGACTGGTTAATAGACTGAATGTTATAAAGGAAGCAATAATAATAATAATAATAATAGTAATAATAATAATAATAGCCCATTATAGTATACTAATCTTGAAATATACATCCCAGCATCCTGATCCTCTAACCTTGTTCACCTGATAACCCGGGCACCGACTCTCGTGCAGTCCCAGACCGCTGGATAGAATTGAAATCCTTTGACTCTGTTTTAGTATGTTGTAGTATATGTTTGGGTATACTACAGTACATTACTGTGTAGATTACAGTATGCTGCCGTGTATCATCGTATAGTACATCACCCTAAACCCTAAACCCCTAAACCCTAAACCCTAAACCCCTAAACCCTAAACCCTAAGTGGGAAGGTATGCGCAGGTGCAGGGTAGGCCCTGCCAGCCACTCCCAGTTCCAGCACGATCACGACGACGACTAGTGCAGGGGCCTAAATGATTACCTATCTTAGTTTGGGGGCTCCTTACTATAATTATAGTATAAGGGACCCCGAAACCCTATTCTAATTATTAAGGCCCCTATATTACTATTGATGCTACTGCTACTGCCACTGCAGCTGCTGCTACTACCACCACCACCACAACTGCTGCTACTGTTAAACTACTAGTGCTACTGCGGGCTACAACGACGGATGTGACTATATCAAGGACGATCTGGTCAGCATATCATCTTGTTGGGAGGCCATACAATCAGGATCCCGGCTATATATCTATATATCTATGAACCTATCTAGCTACCTGTCTATCTGTCTACCGATCTACCTATCTATCTATCTATCTATCTATCTGTCTGCCTATCTATCTATCTATCTATCTATCTATCTATCTATCTGTCTCTCTATCTGTCTATCTATCTGTCTATCTGTCTATCTATCTAAATATCTATCTATCTATCTACCTACCTACCTACCTACGTACCTACCTATCTATCTCTATATATATATACACAGATCACTTTATATACAGATGTGTGTGCATATATACTGATGCATGTACCTATCTATTGAGTATTTATGTTTCCTCCCCCATGTCTTGATGTGCAGCCGCATGCTGTATCTTCCTTGCATCCACTCGGGCTCAAGCAAGGACGTGCCATAGCAACGTTCACAGGTCCAACACAACACAAGCAGAGCTGGGTCTAAGGTCCAAGCTTCGATTTTCAAGGTCTAGAGCTACGTTCCAAAACCACGTGTCCCGAAACCGGCTTGGGGATCGGGACAGACCGGCGCGTCAGCAGTCGTGCAAATTCTATTGGTTGATCTCTCGGACCGTGCCTACGCACAATCCGTCGGAAGCCCAGCGGGTGGGCAATTGCTTTGCTAGAAAGCCTCATCGAGGAACATTCCTGGAATTTTTTATGGTCTTGGTTTCATGATTTAAGGTACTTCCCTGTACTTCCCTTACTTAATATTCAACCTAACAAAACCCTATCTCCCTCAATCAAGCGGCATTGGGCTCGTCTCCCGTCTCTTCAGTCTGTAGCCGTCCTTCTTGCAGTCATCATGCGCCTGCACCTTCAGAGGATAGTGGGGCTCAGAGTGCGATTGTTGGATGTGACAAGTAGTCGAAGCAGACGAGAGACATAAATGCAATTACTTGCTTCAACTACCAGCGCGACGACGCCAATTGCTACTGCTCCGTCCTGTCTTCTGTTATACCACGCTAGACATGTCGAGTGGTGGGGCTTTTGCTTTTAGCAGCATCGCATTCATGGAGTTCAAGGGCCGATATACTTTGAAGTCTTAGATGAAGGGCCAACGAAACCAAAGCAGATCCAGGAAACCTGAGCCTTAACGCGTCAAGGCAACAACCACAAGCCCACAAACCAAAAAGGCATCTACCTTCACCGATCCCAAAATCGTGGCGCTAACCCAAAAACACTCATCAACCCTGAATACACCAAACACACCCATAATCCCCAAGTCAATAAAGCAACCTTGACACGATAAACGTTATAAGATTGTTGCTCAATTTATTTGATTCGTATTAAGAGCTTCTTTTCACTAACGATTATTACTCCGACTAGCACCATTATTGTATGCTTGGGTTCGTATCAACATACTGCTAATGTTATTCTGGCTGTGATGACTCTTCATTCATGAAACCATCAGTCGTAAATCAAGGCAAGATCGGCACCTGCCCACTTAAAAGCCACCCTCGTCCCGCAAACTCGAGCAGCAACAGAATAGAAAGTCCAAGTAGCGAGTGTTGCCAAAATACCAAGCAAACCACACCCAAAGCCTAAGACGCTTAATCCAGCGCCCTTCACCCTGAACCTCATCTGGGCTGGGTGTTGGTACCCTAAACCCGAAAACCTTCTTAGTAAAGGTTTGGGGCTTCCGGGCTCACGGGCTTATGCAGTCAGGGACTGCGTTCATGACAAGAATTCAAGCACCAGCTTCTTTCAGCAGCCGTGCACGCCCCGTCAAAAACCCACATAACAAGTCTAATTACCCATGCTGGGAAATCCTTATGTCTAGGACATTTTCAGGTGGGTAGTTACCGTTATAGGAGCCTTATAGAAGGTCTGTATACCTTATAGAAGCCTTATGGAAGCCCTATATACCCTAAACTCCCCTCCTGTAGTTTCCTGTAATATAGAGCCTAAATCAAAGGGTTTGCACCGTCCTAGTTCCAGCTCCCGGAGCTTCGAAACTCATCCCCGGAACAAAAGCCTGAATCGGCGACATGGGATGGAGCGCCGGCTTCATTAACCTGAAACCCTAAACCCAATGTTATCAACTCGATTTCAACCGGTTTTGGGGCAGATTACACTACAACTATGGTAAGGAGCCCTCAGGGGGTTCTTGCTTCTGTTCCTCAACCCTGAATCTGCCAAGCTGCGAAACCCTACTTCACATCAGGAGTGGCAGAAAGATGTGTGCAAAATCGAAGACAAACACGCTTTTGGACAAGAGCCCTGAAGCTTTCCCAGAGGCTCTGAGGGATTATAGAAGCCCGGGAGTTTTAGGGTTTACGGCGAGGGTTGTGAAGTTAAGAGGCATATAGCGGCCAGAACATTGCCGATACTACTCCATGTAGTTCTCCTGAATATAATTGTAATCATTTCAACGTATTGGAACCACAGGGGCGCTGGTGATTACAGCTTCGGGTGTGCGGAGAATCCAAAACTATAGTGCTTCAGGGGTTATACTACAGCATTGGGGGCATGACCTAGTATGTTGGTAGGGTTTGCGGTTATTGGTAGTGCTCTAAACTTCAGTGCTTCAGGAGTTAGGGGCTGCAAGGCTCAGTTAGGATTTAGAGTTCAGGCTTTGGATTCTATTTGGCTCTTGTGTGAGCATTGTTGCACATAGCTTTTTCATGCTTCTGACTCCACATTGGGAGCTGTGGAATTAAACGACGCGCAGCCCTTTTTATTTCGAACTCCCGGTTCCCCGCAGTTG